AGCCATCTTGCCACAAACTTGACTCGACCAATCAGCGTCGAGGCTGTGGTCACCGTTGTACCCTCGCTCCCTTTCCTCCCTCGTATCTCTGCTCTATGTTCTCTCCACGGTCCCTCTCACCCTCTCGCGGCCGACCTCTCTCTCTTATGGTCCGTAGTAACCCGGCACACAGCAGCACCTGCCAGCCAACCCTTTAATTCTAATCAATTTACTCTTGCGCGAGCCTCAACCCCCCTCGTGTATCCTCCTGAGCACGAGTGAACCTCAACCGCGCGCTGCCTCTCTCCTTCGCTCCCTCGCCCCTCGCCGCGACGAGCCTCCCATCCTTCCCTTGTAACTTCCTCCCCATTCCTCCAGGTCGACTTATTCGCGATCCCTCTCGAACGAAGCCTCCCTTCCTCTCCCCTTCTACATCTGATAACGGAACTACGTTCGGCCGCATGGAACTCCTGCTAACCGGCTAAATAATTAGCGCGGGGAGATTAATTGGCGAGAGTTAAGTCGCGAGGTTGCACGGTAACGACCCTCTTGCGACCGTGCTTGCGACGACAAGTCGAGATAATCCGGAGGGTGCAACGTGGACTGACCACCGTGGAAATGGAAATTAAGGATTAAGGGAGGAGAGGAGAAAATTGTTTGGACGTTAAGAAATCAAGCAACGTGATTCGACGAGCATTAAAGACAAGACTGAAATTAAAATATACTTGTAAAATCATTTATGTATAGTAATTGTTATTGTAAAGTAATTGTAAAAAAATTAAAAATAAAGAAGAATTAAAAATGAAAAGGATTTCTTTTTATTTCCCTTCCCTCGTATCAATATATATATATATATATAAAACGTTGGATACACTTTTCTCGAAAACTCGAAGCACGGTAATAAAAGATGGAAAGGATGCAAGATTCCTTACAAGAAAGAGGTGAAAAACAATTTGATCGGCCCCGATTCACCTAGGGATAGTTAAAGTTTACGCTTCGAACGGTCGAACGACTCCAAAGCTTGCATAATTTACTTAATGGCTCGTAGACTAACGACGCTGTTCATCGTGAACGATGCCTGTGCAACTTGCCAGCTATTCCACTCTCAGGTTGGAGCGCCATTGGACAAAAATTTATGCTAGTTACTTTGGCCTTACACCCTCCGATGAATTATTGCTGCTTGCGCAAAGTCGATTCAAACGATTTTGGAAGAGCTTTCGTTTTCACTTAAAAGACAACAGTATTTTCTTTCCTTTAACGTCCGTTCCTATTTTTGTTTCAAATGAGATAAATTGCTGAATGAAATTTGATTTGACCGATTCTTTATCTGACTCATATTTTTTTTTCTTCGTTCAAATTGAATTCCCAGAATCTACCCAGACTATTATGGGGACTATTGTATAATATTTTAAATTATTGTAGCTGTTGAGGGATATGAACAATTAATATGATGATTGATACTCAAAAAGAGTAAATTTTTGGAGTAATTAAATGAAAAGAAGTAGAGGGAATGAGATAATTTAAATCCTTATGAAGAAAAAAACAAGATAATCAATCTTATCTCTTATCTTTTCCTTCCTCCACTTTTTCACAATACCTAATATACTTCTATTGATTATATAACTTCTATAGAATTTATAAAAATCCAATTTTAATAAAAAATTTTCTAATTTATAGAAAAGATTCATCCCTTTCAAAGATCTAAATATTTCCCTTACATCCACCAATATACTCTTTTCTTAAACGATATAAAATACAGACGTAAATCATAAAATTCATTCATTCCCAATACACCTATTACACATATATTTAAAAAAAAAAAATCGTCAAAATTCCACACCTCGATTTTCGACCATTAACAATTCGATTCAGCATATTGAGTATCGT